GCGACCCTCGCTTCTAGCAGCAGTTTGCTCGCAATTTCCGGGTATGCTGCTTATATCTATTGATTTGGCTCCATTACCTACAGCACCACCACCCGGGCTATTGTGATATTGTTGTGAGGTAGGATTGCTTGTAACGGCTTCCTCTTAATAGCAGCATAGTTGCTTCTATTGCTAGCTAAGTGGCTGACATACCTAACGGCGAGGTCCCCCAAGGCCCCGTTGAGGAGGCTGTAGAAGAGGATCCTAGCGATGCCGACGCATCAGCAATCCCGAATTTGCAGGTTACCGATACCGAATTGAACGCCCTGCAGTCCCGATTCCTTAATGGTACCCCTGACCCTGAGCGTATGGCTGATCTTGAGCATATGCCACCTAGCGCGCAGGCTCAACACTACATGCCACTACCTTCCATTCGCAGGACTCCTATCAACGAATTCAACCGTTCCCAGCCGCTATTAACGCTCGCGTTCCCTACTCTCTACCCTAACGGCAAGGCAGACTTCATGGAGCCTCGCCTACGGAGCATCACGTACCAGGACTACCTTGCCCATGCGATGAGATGGCAAGACGGACGTTTTGCCCGCCATAAGACGTGGCCTTTCGTCGCCCTCAACACGCTGTTACGTGCGCAGGTCAGAAAGCGAAGCGACTACTTCGTCAAGCAACACGAAGGCCGCCGTCAACCCCTTATGCGCGCTGACCTAGAGGAAGCGATGGCTAAGCCTGACGAGCTAGAGGCTCAGGCCCTGATCCAGTCGATCATGTATCAAGCCGCTGTAATCAAGGGCATTCGGCTATATTGGTATAAGTAAAGGAAGGAATTGGAGGTATATGCCTACAATCTAGGCAGGCCTGGCCTTTTCGTTACTGCAAGTGCGGCTGATTACCACTGGGAGTCCCTATATTGTTATATGCCTCGATTCCAAGAGTGGAAAGTAGCTCCTGAGGCACTGCGGATGGCCCTATTCCGGCAATTACTGCGAGACAACGCCTACATTGCCGCTTATTACTTCCATAAGCGTTATATGTTCTTTAGGATTATTATCCTAAAGTAGAAGTTTAACCTAACGGACTTTTGGGGTCGCTATAAGTAGCAAGGCAGGGGGTCCAGTTACTACCATGGCCTATATTAGTTAAGTGGCCACCCAGACTTAGATCCTGACAATAATCAGTCCCGGGAACGATTCGCCTATATCTGGGGATATCACATATCTGCGATTAACCTAGAGCCTCAGCAAATACAGGCTCCTGGAGAAGGGAACCCCCTAATCATCAATCTATTACAGCAGCCCCTTATCATTGGGTTTCTATCAATAGTAGTTAACTGCATATAACAACACTGCTATAATAATTATTATATGCAGCTCAATAAACATATCAAGTAGGTCGAGTGCTGCTTTGAATTTCCTTACGGGCAACGCCTACTAGCCTTCCTAGATAAGGTTCCTCATTCTAAACACTGGAGCTTCAGGGGCGAGCGGAATAATAGCTAGATTAACTACTATAACCGCTTGCTTACAATTATGTGGCTGGCTAATATAGATATCTCCCCCTGCACGAGCCTATAGCAGGTAATTGATTATATAGCTAAATATTGCTTCAAGTTGGAAAAGAAAAGTGAGTTTTTTGCCTAGATTGGGAAAGCCCTGATACTCCGGGTTAAGGATTATAACCCTCTTATTTCCTTTACGTCAAAGCTCCTAAATCAGCTAGTTGCTAAGCGGGATTACTCAAAGTAGGAGGTTTGCTACTTGCTCCTCGGCCTGCTGTTACAGGAGGGCTTACGAACCTGCCTATATATTGACTGCCGTCATCCTGATAGGCATTCCCACTCCCTATATATGGATGGCGATGAGGTTGATGAGACCCTCAATATCTATGAAAAGTACAGTCAACGCCTAGAAACCCTAGAGGACCTAACCTATATTTCCTTCCTTAAATACTGGAATTTCCACTCTAGAGATTCTTTTAAGTGGAAGTAATAGCAGCTAGAAAATGTTAACGGCAGGCCTTGTATATTAATTTACTTCCCTTGCTATTATACTAATCTAGAAGGTCAATAGTAGCTAGATTACTGCTATATAAAGCTCATATTAAACTATCTATATTACTAAGTTAATAAGCTTCTAATATTTAACAGCTAACTTTTCAGTTCCCATATTAAAGCTTTCTTATATTATTAGCAACACCACAGTTATAGTAATAACCATTATAGCTAGCTAAAAGAGGCTCGATTATAGCCTCAAGAGGATTAATACGAGGCTCTGCCTGTAGAGGAAGAATTTGATGACGAAGACTAGATTCGCCTCGCCGCCCTTTTACCTGACAACCCCCTTACCCAGGAAGGTCTTAACCTACTCGGCCGCCGCGATATCGATGTTAATTACGACTGGACACGGTATGTAGGTACTTATCCGGAACTTCAAGACGGCTACTGGAAAGACCTTATCGCTAGCCACCCTGTAGCCAATGATGTGGAGGTCCTTGGCCCTCACTGGCGTGATCAGCTGAACCCACAACAACGGCTCGTATACGACACCTTCATGGGCCACTTCCAGGCGCAAAGTCTTACTCAAATCCTTCTCCACGTTGACGGCGGTGGTGGTACAGGCAAGTCCTTCCTTATCAAGGTGCTATCCTCCCATCTTCAGGCGGCTGCCCTACCGAATCCTAGCCCTATTTGCCGCGTAGCGCCAACAGGCGTTGCAAGTAACCAGATACAAGGCAGCACCATTCATTCGTTGCTACGTCTCCCAGTAGGTGGTACTTTTACCGACCTTCCCCCAGCCGACGCGGCCGCCCTTCAGTCCCGCCTACGGCACGTCAAATACCTCGTTATCGATGAAAAGAGCATGCTAGGGCTTGAGCAGCTAGCGCGGATCGATTCCCGCCTGCGGCAGGCCTTTCCACAGCGTAGCCTCGAGTTCTTTGGTGGCGTGAGCGTCTTGCTGGTAGGCGATTTCTTCCAGTTACCACCCGTCCGGCAAAAGCCGCTGTATTCGACTAGCACCAGCCTGTCTCCGCTGGAAAGGAGAGGGCAGGTGGCCTACCGGTTATTTGACCGCACCATCTTCTTGACCACGGTACAGCGCCAAACTGGCGATGATCAGGCCCAGTTCCGTCAGGCATTGCAGGAACTGCGTGAAGTTAAGTTATCTATACCGTCATAGAACCTCCTTAGTAATCGGGTACAGGCCAAGCTAACACAGAGCGAGATTGACAGCTTCAGGGCCGCTTTGCGGGTGTATTCTACAAAGGCCCGGGTCAACGAGTACAATTACGAGCATATAGTGCACCTCAACGACCCGGCAGTACAGGTGGAGGCAAAGAATCGGGGCAACGGCGCAGGGCAGGCGCCAAGCGACAACGCTGGCAACCTATCTAACAGGTTCCCTGTTGCTAAAGGCGCCAGAGTGATGCTTACGACTAACCTATGGCAGCCAGCTGGCCTAGTTAACGGTGCCCAGGGTACTGTATACGACATCGCCTGGAACGCAGGCACCAACCCATGGGAAGAACCCCCGGCGGTTATTATGGTGGATTTCGATAGCTACGACGGGCCGCCGTATCTAACAATGAACGAGGGCAGGAAAATCTTACCCATCCTCCCAGTTACGCGTGATTTCCTTGTGGGCAACGAGACCTGCGCTCGCACGCAGTTTCCCCTGATCGTGGCGTTTGCTATCACTGTTCACAAATGCCAGAGCCTAACGAAGGATCAAATAGTTACTGACCTCGCCACACGCGACTTCCAGGCCGGCATTAGCTATGTTGCTGTCTCACGGGTAACCTCGCTGCAAGGCTTACTCCTTGAGGCGCCTTTCGATCGTCAGAGCCTCTATAACCACACGCCCACGGAAGGTTCATGTGCCTGTGTTTCCTACGTGCTGCGTTTACGCTAACTATAAGGCAGGGATGAAGATGCGCCTCGTTGACCAACAACGCCGTCAGGCTCAACAGCTGACCGAGCCACCGTATCCACCACTCTACCTTGACTAGACGACGTCTTCCTATAAGCTACATAGAAAGGGGAGGTTCGATATATGGTATATAGTTAGATTCGGCCTCTCAGGAAGCGGTAGAGGATCCCCTGACTATCAGCCAACTCCCCCACTGCAGGTTTGACGCGGTTTTAACAGCTAGTTGCCGCCGCAGGCGAAAGGGGGGGTTCTAGAAATCCCCCCTATGAGAATTGAATTGCAGGTATACGGTATTACCCTTTGGGCTGGATATTCAGCCGTTAAGCCCCTTGCCTTGGCAACTTAACGGGTGTTCGAAGTATTTTAATAATACATTCTAAAAGTAATAAAAAGCTAATTTTACAAGAATCTTAATATCTACTTATTTTACCTCTATATATGTATTAACTCTTATTATATCGCTATACAGTCCCCGGCACTTCCAGTAGCTGCAACTCAATCTCTGGAGCACTTGTCGAGTCCATGCTGACGCCAACTTATTGGAGTAGTAGAGGAGCATATGGAACCATCGTCGGAGATAACAGGGACAGGTCGCTAGCGTCAACATATGTTTTGACATACTAAGTTTCGGCGGGGATAACGGCGTTAAGAACACAAGCGGGTATTTCTGTGCTCAATACTCCGTAAACCCGATCGGGCTCTCAATCGTCCGCCATTACCAATCCATTGCACACACGGGACATGTTCTCGTACTCCAGTTGCCGCTGACAGAAGCGCTGTGCAATATGTGGAAGGCGCTTTGTGGAAAGGCGGGTTCGGGGGACATTGGGTGGCGTTCAGATGTCACTGGACGCGTTGCGCCTTTCTACGAATCCCGTATTGCAATGCGGCCGTACGTGAGGTCAACAATCGTCATGGAGGAGTATAAATGGTCAAGAAGCACCTAGCATATGCAGTTCCTCTTTCATCAGACTTCTTGACTGGCACACTCTCACCACAATAGGAGCTCGACATCAGCGACAATCGCGCTTCATACATACCTAGAATTCCTAGCCGTCACGCTCTGCATTACATTACATCATGCCCGAACTCGTCGGACGCAAAGTAGGCTCTCGAGGCTACGGCCTGATGAACTTCACCTGGCGCAAGGATCCCATTCCCCACGAACAGGCCTTTGAGGCCCTGCGCGCCGCCATCGACAACAACATGACCTTGTGGAATGGAGGCGACTTCTACGGCACCCCTGAGATCAACAGCATGACCCTCCTGGCGGCCTACTTCGAAAAGTACCCCGAGGACGCCGACAAGGTCGTCCTGAGTATCAAGGGCGGCCTTAGGCCCGACATGCAGCTGGACGGCTCGCCCGAGTACATCCGCCACTCCCTCGACTCTACGCTCGCCCAGCTCAAGGGCAGGAAGAAGCTCGACATTTTCGAGTGTGCCCGCCGCGACCCCAAGGTGCCCCTCGAGACGACCTTTGGCGTCCTTGAAAGGGAGTACGTCCAGACCGGCAAACTCGGCGGCATCTGCCTCTCCGAGGTCTCGGCCGCCACTATTCACGAAGCCGTTAAGATTACAAAGATTGTCGGTGTCGAGGTCGAACTGAGCCTTTTCTCCACTGACGCCCTTACTAATGGCGTGGCCGAGGCCTGTGTCAAGTACGGAATCCCCTTGATCGCCTACTCGCCCCTTGGTAGAGGCCTCCTTACTGGTCAGGTCAAGAGCCTCGATGACATCCCTGAATCTGACTCCCGCCGCCACCTGCCCCGCTTCTACCCGGAAAACTTTGAGATCAACCTTCAGTTAGTCAAGCAGGTTGAGGAAATGGCCGCAAAGAGGAGTTGCACGCCTGCCCAGCTCGCCCTGGGATGGGTCACGTCTCTACAGCGCCGGCCAGGGATGCCTACCATCATCGCCATCCCAGGCGGCACCACTGCTGCCAAGGTGCATGAGAATGCCAAACAGATTGATCTCACTGATGAGGAGATGGACGCCCTTGATGCTACATTGGCCAAGTTTGAGGTGGCTGGTGGAAGGTATCCCGATGGCATGCCCGTCGACACCTAAGCAGGTTCTTTGTCCACCTGTTCTGGCATCCTAGAAGCCCCCGTTTTACCAATGTCAGTCGGCATCCTTTGGAACGCGTGGCATTCGAGAAAATAAGACTTATTAAAACATCATGTCCCCAGGTCGCGAAAGTGAAAAAATCATCTATATGACACTGTTGTAGAGCAGCCTTTATTCAGTATTGTCTAATTCTCAGTCCTTTTGCTTCTCATAGGCGTTGTCTAACCCTAGGAATTATAATAATCTCACTGAGGTATGGAGAGTATTGCACATTTTCATTCCTGGGGGTCAACCCCCTAACCCTATGCCCAAGCACGGTTCTGGGCCTAACAATCTTGCTCAACACGCCCTGAGCTGATAAGCTTTGCCTGGATCTGTTTTAATCACTCCTGCGCGAATAGCCTCGAGGTAACTCCAACGATAATCGTTGTCCAGCTCGGTCTTCCACGACTAAAATATCCACCCCAGTCCCTTCTTATAAGTTATAACCTATATAGCCCACTATTTTATATAGAAGTTCTTATTTATATTATTAGCTACTTAGAACTGAGGGGAATATTCTTTAGATATTTTTTAGCTTTAGATTCTACTTACTAATAATAAGGGGTATTTCTCTAGAAATAGAAAGTTTATTATTATAGGATATAGATAGATAGTCTTTCTATAATACTAAGATAGTAAGATTAGATTTAAGGTAGTAATAATTATTATAGATAGTATAGAATATATTAGTTAGATTTTAATTTGGGTTTTCTATACTCTACTTAGTATTTATATATTAAATATATAAAGTATTTTTAGTTTTAATATAGAGGGAGAACTTAATAGAATGGATTTTAAAGTATATAATTAGGTAGAAATTACTTAAAATAGATAGCTTATGTTAGTTTAGCTTATTAATTACCCTAAGTATATTCATAATATAGAAGTTATAGTTAGTATAAATAAATCTAGTTAACTATTATAGAAACTTATAAATATATATATACTCTATAATATTATAAAAACTAAGTTTCTTAACCTACTAGATATATAATAAGTAATATAACCTAGTATAAAATAAAATTAAGCAGTTATAATAGAAAAAAAGCTTATCTTTCCTATAAAAGCCTGCTATACTATTTATACTCTAGATACTCTATATATTTCTAAGATAATATAGAAGCTATACTTAGCAGCCTAGTTATAAACTTTCTCTAGAACAGAAAGAGCTTCTTATAAAAAGTACTTATTAGAGTATATAAAGCTCTCGTCTATCTAGAAGCCTAGGGGAATACAAAGTATATTCAGCCCGAATAAAACTATTATATTTATATTACATTTAGTAAACTAATTATTCTAATAATTCTAAAATACAGTATTGGCTTTAACTTATTCCAGGGCTTTGATACAGTTAAATTCTAAATTCGTTCCCGCGCAGCCCATAGCAGTCTATTCCTTTTGAATCATCTAAGGCTCGACGACGAAGAGGGACCCAAGATTAACTCCACGGATCTTTTCTGCGCCGGGATGGGACAGCTGCGACAGCTTTCCTTTCCCTTTGAAGAGACCACGGTCGGCCGGCAACCAGGCATGGGTAACCGTGGCGCATAGAAAAACGAGTGCTATGAGTTTCATGGCGGCTTTCGATCTTTTGCTGTGTATGAATTGCGTATAGAAAGAATGGACAGTGATGAGTCTAATCAAGACAACTGTCCCGATGACGATGGATATGGAACTACATCCCAGCGGGATAGCTATGATTTATAGCTGAAGTTGATAGAAGTATTGGAGTTAATTAATACTGGGGCATTTTGCCAGTGAACAAAGCTGGGGCCGATCTTCAGGCAGAACGGGTAACCCTGTATGCCAAAAGATCCACTTATGTCAGCAGAAGAGAAATTTCTTGGCCCCATGGGGACCCCACAGGTGATCATCATCCGGGATATGGCAGGGTCTAGCACACAGCCATGGGGGCGGAGATGTCGGGAAGCGATATTACTAATGTTGCGGGGTTTGAGTGTGGCGGTGAGGTGAAGTGACCCAAATTCTCCCACTAGTTAGTTAGTGACGCGATGGCTAGGAAGCTTCTACACTCGGTGGAATGATAGCCGAAACGCGGACGAGAAAGCAGAGAAGCAGGGTTACATCATCTGACGGACGACAGAGACGAAGGCATTGACACCCAGTCTCTCTCTCGCCTGCCAAGACGGCATTCGACATCAGTTGGAAGCCGCGATGAAGAAGCCGAACGTTGACTCTTGCTCTATTGGCTACGGGTGGCGGTGTTGCCGCGGGAGCGGGACTGCACAAGGTGCGTTCCCCGAAGCTGAATCTGTCCGTTAAACGAGGCTGTTGCGGGGGAAACGCCACGAGCTCAATATTTGGCTCGCTTGATGTGTTATTTCATGTGTGGCCGCGGAAAGCCGGAACGCTATTGGAAAGGTGTCGAGATTGCGGAAACCCGGATTTAAGATTAATGGATAAGACTAGCAGTGTGGCAGCTGGTACGGAGGCGCATATCAAAAGTCCTCGCTTGCCAAGGCGCTAGTGAGCTTTAGCGTCTATCCAGAAGGCACACCGCACCAAATTTGTGTGTGTCAATTCCCAACGCCTGATAATACCACTCTTCCTATTTAATTCAACAAAAATATCTTCTAATATTGCAGCTCGAGCGTGCGTTGTTACGTTAAAATCTGCTGGTAAAGAGACTTCCGAAGTTGCTTATTTTACAGGGCTTCCAGTACGAACGATCAATAATATCTATATACAAGTAATTAAGCGCGGCTTCGACCCAGTAAAGAAACCTCTTGAGATTATAGATATCCACGTTGCTGATACATCTCGATCTAGCCGACCTAGGAAGCAGACTATAGAGATCTAAGCAGCTGTTGTAAGTAAGGTATGCCGTAATCGCTACAGCAGGGAAAAGACCTGTGCTGATATTGCTGGGGAGCTCAGTTTAGAAGATATTAATATCTCTTTAATAACTATCTAGCGGATTCTCTGGGGTGCCGGCTTTAAGAAGACTAAGCTAACTAGAAAGCCTGGTCTAATAAAGAAAATATAGTAGGATTGGCTTAATTAGTATTTATAGTAGAAGGACTGGACTCTTGTTATATCTAGCAGATGGATAGGATTATGTGTGTGAGAAGCTTTTGCTATTCTTTCTATCTAATTAAGGTCTGCTAGGTCAGTCTTATAGATAAAGATAACCTTGGATAACCTTGGATAGCTGAGAGGCTCCGGATAGTCTGGAGTCTTTAGCTTCAGTGTAACGGTCGTGTTCTCTGGACTGCCGTAGACGTAGTCTAGGGTAGGCAAGAGATGGGTTGCTGGTGGATAAACCGTAGGTTTATGTTAGCAGAGCGGTTAGGGCGTCACTTACAGAGTAAATGTTACGTCTGGTAATAGTCAAGCACAGTGATGCGTAGCGAGTCAAGGTGATTGAGGTAACCAAGTTGTATTGATAGCTGAGTAGCTGTACATGGTGAATGTGCACTACTCAGTTGACTATATAGTTACGGGGGATTGATGGATCATGAGGATCATCTAGTGATCCTAATGATTCTCATGTCCCTGGATCACTTGGATCATCTAATGATCGAGGTGATCTGTGTGTGATAGGAGGGAATAAGTGGGTACGTTGTCAGCGCACGTGACGTGGTCGGGGCCTAGTCTGACATGGGTCGTGACATTCAGCTAGCTATAGAAAGAATTAAGAAAAAGCTAGGTTTTATAACGAGGCCGGTAACAAGGCCAATAACAAGGCTGGTAGCGATGGACGCCTATAATGAAAGAAGAAACCTTTAATACAGTAGAAATCCGATATCCCGATACCTAATAATGTGACAACTCTCAAGGACTGGAAGAATATCATTTAGTCTGACAAGACCTCTATTATTCTGCTCTATCGGCGCGGAGGATATTGTATATAGAGGACTAAAGACGAGGCCTTCGTCTGCAGCTGTATTTGTAAGAGGTGGAAGGGGGCTTCCGAATTTATATTCTGGGGCTGTTTCTTATATACTTACAAGGGCCCTATATACTGCTAGGCGCTAGAGACTAATACTGAGAAGACGGCTGCTAAGAGAGAGATTATAAAATTAAATATAGAGCTGGAGCTGATAATAAAGAAATAGTAGAAGCTTTAGAATAGTATATAGCGCCTTAACTTATATAACCTTTCTAGTAAGAAGCCCCAGTAGTAATAAAGTTAGAAGAATAGCAAGCTTACCCGACGGGCTGAGTATAGAATAGACTGGTATTTATATTAAATTAAAATCTTAATACCCAAGCTACTACCTTTTACTACTAAGTATCTTATTAAGCAGCTAGGAACTCTTATATAGAAAGATAAGATACCAGTATATAGTTATTATATATAGCAGTAAGTATATAATATAGCTGGTATTATAAGATTACTTTAATATAGCAACTCGCCGGACCTTAATATAATAGAGCCCTGCTAGCCCTGGATAAAGAGATAGACTATAAGAAAAGGGGCCCCTAAGTCCCATAAGGAAGCTATTGCTACTTGGGAAGCTGCTTGAAAGAAACTTAAGCAGGAAGCTATTCAGGCTTAGATTGCGCGAATTCCTCGTTATATATAGGAAATAATTGATCTTGAGGGTGGAAACGAGTATAAGGAAGGCCGGAGAAGGCCCCAATACTAATTGGGTAGTACTATTCCCTAATTAGCTAGCCTTCTATTTTAGCACAAGCGAGGACTTTTAATATACGCCTCCGTAATCTCAGAGTAAATATAAAAGCTGGGCTAGTAGAAAGCTGGGGTATATTAGTCTGGATATAGGCTAAGCTAGAAGATTAAATATTATAAATTATAAATTCTGTTTTTATTTATTTAAATATATTCAGGCTCTTATAATAGCTATAAAAATCTAATTATAATAGCTATAAAAACCTTAATATATTTATATAACTAATAATAAAAAGTATATTAAATACAGCCAGGCTTATTATATATACTGGAAGTACCTCTAATAACTAGTAACTAATAACCCTGCAGATCAGGGCTCTAGTATAGATACACAGAAAGAGAGAGTACGCGGAAAGAGGCTTCCCCACCCTATCAACTAATTCTTGGTTTCTGCACTTAGGGATTGCAGTCGCCAACTACTAAGGGAGCATAGTAGAATTCAGTCATCTTGCGGGAATTCTTGATATAAGCATCTGTGGCTATGGTGGTGTTTGAGTTGGCCTCGCAGCATAATAAATACTTGTTGTAGCAGGAGTAGACAATGGGAGCTGTACTGGCAGTGTGTGAGTGTGACTCCTTCCGCTATATTCTGAACGATGGAAATGATATGTGGATTATCGCGTGTGGTACTTGTCACTTGGCCGTAGCGAGTGCCGGCCCTGAAAGACTCAGCCGTCTTGGCTCTGAACCCGGACCGATGACACGGTGACGTACCGACACTCCCGACTTCGAAGCTATCAGTGTTGTTGTTATCGACTCTCGGCGACCGTAAGCATCAGCAGCTGCAGTTCAGGTCCAGAGACGGAATGCAAGCAGTCAAATTGACGGCACGGTTTCTATCTCCTATTTCAATAGATCGACCATGGGATATAAATGGAGACGGAGGCGTGGAAAAACTGAAATTAGAGATAATTGCTCAATAGAATGTGTTCCGGGTGATGGCAAGGGCGGATTGCTTGCAAAGACAATATCAGACGAAATAAGTGGAAGCAAGAAAACCAGAGATGGGTACAAACTATGGCAGGACTAAGGCTTAAGGAGAGACCTATTCATCACTCTTCAATTCACTAAACAGAGGAGACTTCTTCATGAACTCCTCCCAGGTTGTCAGCGGATCGTCAAGGAGAGCATGGCTCTCATCCAGCGACTCGCCACCGTAATATCCGCCCTCATCCATAAGACGCATGTTCTCCAGCAACTCTATAGCCGCGAACTCCGGCATGCCCATGCCTTTGAGCGCATCAGTGTAGGCGTCGTGAGGAGTGGAGAAGAACGTCGCGGTCTTCCCGGCCTCGGAATAGACCGACTTGAACCCTTCGAGAATCTCTTTCGGCGTCATGTATTTAAAGGCGCCGAGGACACGCTTGCCCAACACCTTCTCCCTGTTGAGCGCGATCGACTTGACGACTTTCCCTGTGTCGGAAATGTCGAACATCGGGATAGGCGCGCTCTCGGGCATGGGGAGTGCTAACGTCCAGGTATTATCAGGAGGGCTGGCACGTAACATCTGGCCAGGGAGGTTGGACATATAGAAGCCGGGCATGAAGTAGACGGCCGGGATACCCAGAGAACGGGCATACTCCTCAACTGCGGCCTTGCTGTCGAAGTGGTAAACGTGAGGAAGCTTGCCACTTGTCACTGTTCCGCGTCAGCTCTGTTCAAATTGGACAACTACGCCCAGGTGTAGTTCAACGTGCATTTCTTGACATCGTAAAGCGAGCTCCAAATAAAGAGTTTAGTGCCAGCCTCCTTTGCGGCATCAACAATGTCCTTTCCCTGCTTCACTTCAAGTTCGGCGTCCATCGCCTCCCAGTAATTCGTCACAGCAAACACGGCTTCAGCGCCGAAGATGGCATTGCCCAATGTCTTCTTGTCTGACAGGTCGGCCTATCCACTGGTATTAGTTCCACATTTTGATCTTCTCTCCAAGTGACGGTCGCCTCTAGTAGTCGACGTACCTGGACAACCTCGGCGCCTTGTGCCGCGAGCTTTTTAGCAGATTCTTTAGTGATGTCTCGGGTAACAGCGCGCACAGACCACTCGTTCTTAAGCTTCGGGTCATTCAGGAAAATGTCAACCACTGAACCGCCCTGTTGACCCGTGGCTCCGAACACGGCGATGATCTTCTTTCCCGCCATTGTGTTGAGTGCTCCTTTTTTGGAATCTGGCGTGAGTGGTGTGAGAGTGTAAGGCCAAATTCGAAAGAGGTACAATTACAATTATCTCTGTAGTAAATATAAAGGCGATGATGAGGGTTTGAGGTTGGGGACAGAGGGGGAATACATCATTTGTAGTATATATCTGCTCTAGCTAGGAGTACATATCTGCTCTAGCTAGCCTCTCAGCCCCCCGTCTTCCCGATTCTCTGCAGAAAACGGAGGACACAGTTCAAATTGAATTATGGTTGCTTGCTAAGCAAATGCGAATCCCTTGCATTGATGCCACCAGCATTAGGCGGCAGTTTCTGGGTGCTCACTGCATGAACGAAAGGTGTCGAAACGGATGCGGATAACCGCGCGCGTCCTGGATGATTGATAATCAAGTTCACTCCAAAGGGGCACGGGGAAGATCCACAACGTACTGGAAGTAGGTTCGCGCGTCCCGTGGCCGGGTGACTTGAACATGAGCCGCGCGCTGACTGACTAATCACCATACGAGCTATGGCGAGGGAGTGTCTCTCTTCTCCGCGTATAAGTCTCTAGTCCCCATAGTAATTCCGGCGTTAAGCATGGTACGCCGAAATTGAATGTTCCATCCGCACGACCTTGGTGCCATATCCACCAACACTAAAAATGCGCCCCCCTATTGGCAGGTGCGAATCGTCTGTGATGTTATGTCGACGGGACAGTTTCTTGCCCGCGGAAAGTCGGACAGGTGGCTAACCAGGTAACGTTTGCAATCCACCGCGGAAAGCCGGGTACACTTCAGCATCAGAGACGTACCCACGCCCATTCCCCATGTTACTGGCCTCTGATAATAGCACACCCAATTTCTTTCTGGGGTGGAATAGCCGAGAGACCGGAAGGATTGACCCCTGCCAGGCAGAAGCGCCCTATTACTATGTAGCTACCATCCCAAGATTATAGAAGTGACGGCGTTTTGCTGTTGAGATTGGCGTTTATATTATTGGTAATACTCTATAGAATTATAAGGTTTAGTTGCTTTCTTATAATACTTAATACTCTGGCGCTCTAATTAATTATCTTCTATCTGATATACTTAATTTTACTATTTACCTTTTTTTTTCTTATTTTACAGGCTATTTCTATAACTTTTGGATTTTTATATAAGTATAGTTAATTTAGAAATTATAAGCTACTTATTTAATTTGTTTAATCTCGCTATTTTAACTTTGACTTTTAAATTATATATGTATATGTATTAATATTAATATATACATTTTATACTTTTTAAATATTAATATATTTCATTATATTTAATTAGTTTTAATATACTACTAATTTATAATTTCTTTTTAATATAATAATTAACTTTTGTAAAGCTTTTTATGGATAATAATATAAAAGCTATTAATTTAAATTTAATGAAATTTCTTTTTTATTTTTAGTAAAATTAAAAGACTTTTTTTAAATAAATAAATAAAATATATAATTAATACCAGCCGATTCTAAACGGCTATTTTCAAGTTGTGAGATTACCTTTGAAGATCTACGGAATCGCATTGAGCCTGAGCTATTGGAGGCTTTGGAGTGTTTAAAATCATAGAGTAAGATTAAGAAATTCGATATATTACAGCTAATAGCAGTAGTTAGAAGTGGGAGTGGTAAGGGTGAAGGGGCATCAGTTGAAGTAGCGCCAGTGTGGCGTAGCCAGTGATCCAGTGCACCGGGAACACTGCCAGTTTGTACGGTGTTCATATTCCTTGGATTTTGGAGGTCCCGGTGCAGTGCAGTGTAGGGGCAAATCGCGCCTTATATGTATTGCATTCTGGTGGCACTCCCTGTATTAATACTAGTTACACTACTGTCAATACTGTACAAAAAAGTACTTGTTATATACAAAATAGTAACTTACTGGAAATCTCTTTCGCAAAATCGGAGGATGGGCAATGTTTTTCTTACAGAACCTGGCCAGTTTATATGTCACACTGAATGGATAGGATCACAATGATGATGGTGAAAGCTCTTGATTTCTAGCTAAGGGACGGGCCTAGAGCCTGTTTTTTATACATGATAAAGACGGCTGCTGCCGGAGGCTGCAGTCCGTCGCCGCCGCAGAGGCCGGGATCGTGGTCACAGGACCGACGATGTGGTCTGAGAAAGAAAGGAAAGTCGCGTTGTCTAGGAAAGCCGGTAATGAGGTTATCATGCGTCTCAGGATGACCCCGAAATATGACATTATACCCCGCTCTGTGAGATTATATCCGCGGCTTTCAGAGCCATGATGTAGGTAGACTGCTGAGGGAAAGCACCCGGGACTCGCGGGAAAACCGACATATCCACGATACGTAAACCGTGTACACCATTGACGCGAAGCTCGGAGTCGACACAATGGTCAAGCGAATTGGCTGGACCCATTCGGCAGGTACAGCCACCGTGATGGCCGAAAGCCTCATCTTTCAAATTCTGGGCGACATCGACTCCTTCGCCTGGCTGAACCCGGGAGTAAGGAGCAGGAGGAGATGAGGAATCCTCCATTATGCTGTACAAGAGTTGAGCTCCCTCGGTCAATATTTCCAGGTCGCGCTCCCCATGTTCACCCTGGAGCCAATCAACCACGATTTCAGGCGTGTCGCGTGGGTTCGCCGAACGCAGGGTGACAGTGCCCGTGGCCTCGTCACCAGGTGTCTGAGTCTTGATTATGGCAAAGGACAAGGAGGACGGGGCTGGCGAGGCCTGAGAGAAACCGGGGTACCAGCCGCGAACTATCGCACCAGTGAATCCATATATCCAAATATCGATTTCCTCATCCTCGCTCTGACTAGAACGGTGTCTGATTGAAAGGGGGGCGGCACCTTCACCGTATGGGCCGGTCCCCGAGTTCTGCCATTCGAGGAAGCAGGGGTCTGTAGAGTCGAATTGACGGGTGCAGTTCGCATTAGGGTCATTCGACCAGGGTTCAGTGGCGTTAACGACGACGATTGCCTCGGTATGATCCTGAAGATATTTTCCCTGGTACGCCTGTTAGTACGAAAATCGGTGCAAATCGGTGCTCCAACGCTCGGTGGGGAGGAAACGATCGCGAAGGCCTGCACAACGCCACGGTATCAAAAAACAGGTGACCACAAAGCAGCTAAATATTGAACATACCACGGAAGGAGAGTCGACTATGACATCAATCCCGAAGCTTTCTAACTCCTCGCGTGGCCCAACACCACTCAGCTTAAGGAGCTGCGGTGTGTTGAACACACCTCCGGACACGATCACCTCTTTTGAAGCGCTGACAGTTTTCACCTGGCCTGTTTGGGAGACATTGAATCGGGGATCGGCGCCATACAAAGCTTCTCCGACCATGTACTCAACCCCAACAGCCCTTGGTACGCTGCTAGAGCGGTCAAACAGGATATGGGAGGCGAGCGAGTGTGTGCTGAGTGTCAGGGGATATCCGGCTGCTATCGTGTCTACGATATAGTTCCGGGCTGCAGATCGTCGTCTATCCTCCGTCATAGCTACACTAAGTTGATACGCACCAGGCGTGTAGCTATACATCGGGTCGTTCACATCTCTCTGCAAGAACTCTGTCAAGTGGTCGATACCTGAGACGTTCACCCCTTCGGTATGTCGTATTGCGTTTGACATGAATTCGGCCAGATCAGGTCGACCCGTGATGTACGTTACATTATTTCGGTTGGTCTGGAGTTACTTGGTTAGACTCTCAGAGGAATAGTGGGGAAGTTCAGGCGACTTCTATCATACCGAGATGAACCCATCAAAGCCAAGTGCTGGTGCAACTTCCTCACGGTAAGTGCGGTTCTCCAAGGCAACAAAGTAGGGCTTCATTGCCTCTGCACTCCAGGAATCGTCCCCGGTGTACTCAGCAATCAAGTCCCACTAAAAGACGTCAGCTCTAATATCTACGTACGAGGTGCCGAATAAATTGACTCAACTCACGTCTTTGTCTGAAGCCGCGGCCCAGTTTAGTGCATTCACCTGCGTGCTCCCGCCCACCGTCGCTCCTCGAGGGTAGAGTGTACCAAGACTGAGAACAGCAGAGCGTGACTCGTTAGCAACTTGCTTCAAGAATGATGCCCTGTGCTTAAAGCCGTTTCACATACGGTTCTGCACCGGCCGGCGGGTCAAGTCCATAATATAATGTCCCGTCAGAAAGACGATAGGTGTACTTAGAATCTCTCCGACCCTGTGTCTGATTTCGGTAATTGTTGATATAAAACTGCCAAGCCATCGCGCTATTCTCAATGGCGGTACTTGCTCTGTTGAATGCGTATTCAATTTTAGTCAGTTTCGCACAGTCCAGCCTGGCAGAGGAAAAAGGGGGCGGAGGTGTTGAAGGTGCTAAACTCACCGGCTCGGCATCTCTTGAATCAAGTCATCTCCGTGGTCGCCACCTGCTTCGATGAGAAACACGGAATGTCCCTTGCGGGCGAGAGTTGCTCTGCGTCCTCACGCGAGTTAGCTACTTGAGTAACCAGGCAGCGTGTTCAGGTCCATGTCGCGTGAGGTTTACTTACGCAACGGTCCCACCACCAGCGCCTGACCCGACAACAATGTATTCGTAGTCGCTCGAATTACCGCTGGATGGAATAGCAGCTGCCAATTGACAAAATGCGGCCAACGTGGCCACAGACGATGGAAGTCTCATAGTCCAGTTGATGACGTTCTTTAACGCTATCGTACCTTTTCCAGTTGTGTGCGTGAAATGGTATGTAAACTAAGCCGGTCGAACTCACTAGTAGCGGTCCGTCGAAGTTTTTAACCCTTCGTTAAGCTCGAGACCTCACTAAATCAACAAACTTGTTGATTTATCAGCGACGGACTTACACGATTTCTCGTCCGTCGCTGATAAATCAACCAAGTTTATTGATAGTAAATACGGAGGTCACGGCAAAAAGTTACTGGATTGACAGGGGTTTGCCAATATTACAGGGTTTGTTCTTGGCATAGCTCTCCTGTACGATTGAGTCGCTCACCCAAGCAAGTCGCTCACTTTTCCAATATTAAGCACTTTTGCATGCAATTGCTCGACACTACAACGAACTATTGTATTATATATAATATGAAAATGTTATTCGAAGTCGTCACTATCTTCTGCATCGATAATTTCGACCTGGCAAGTAGGATAATTGTGTCCAATTTCGCCGCAGCGTCCACAATACCTCTTTGCCCGAACTCTCTTATTAGACTCATCGTGGATTTCGTGGGGGTGTTGAGGCCTTGTCCCGTATGTGTTAATACCATTACAAATAACAGACTTGGATGTAGTCTAGTTGTCCAACAAGTGGGTGGCAACGCGAGCGGCATCATGTGCGGCATAATGCGGCAAAACCAACGTCGGCCAAACATCAGCTGTTTTATCCTAGGCCTAGCTTTTCATTTGATCGGGTCAATAGCTAGCTGATGCCAAAGACTCCGAAGCATCCGGAGCGTCTCGGCCGTCCGAGGTCATCCGAGGTCATCTTCATCTATAAGACTGACCCAAAGACCCTCCATTAGATAGGAAGAATAGCAAGAGCTTCTCACACATATGATCATTTCCATCTGCTAGATGCAACACTTCCCCCCTAATTATGTTATTTCTCAGCCTTATCATTTCGTGGTTGACCTTGGAGGTTTTAGCCAGCACTGCTTCGTCGTCGGCTTTGCCAAGCTCTCGAAATACCCCAATCGTAACCCTGAAAAATGGCAGCTTGAGTGGTACTGTCAATCGCCACTATAGCCAAGATTTCTTTCTCGGTATACCCTATGCCGCACCACCTGTCGGAAACCTCCGTCTGCGCAAACCCCATCCTGCGAAGCCTTGGACTGGAATTAGAAAATCCGAGTCATATGGAGCGGGCTGCATCAGAAACTCCATTGAATTGGCCGGATTTAGCCAAAATTTCACGGGCCCAGTCAGTGAGGATTGTCTCCATCTCAACATTATACGGCCATCCAAAAGACATTCTTTACTACCTGTGCTTGTATGGATACATGGAGGAGGGTTCCAAGATGGCAGTGCTAGCGATGGAAGGTCGAATGGGACATTCCTCGTGCAGGCCTCTGTGGAAATGGGTACGCCCATTATCTTCGTCAGTCTCAACTATCGTCTCGGTGCTTTCGGCATGCTGGCCGGCTCAGTGATGGAGGAGGCTGGATTAGCAAATATTGCCCTTTATGATCAGCGACAGGCTCTCCATTGGATCCAGGAAAATATACGTCATTTCGGCGGAGATGCATCACGCGTTACCATCATGGGTGAATCGGCTGGCGCCATGTCCGTTGGGTTTCATCTTCTTGCTTTCGGAGGCCGAGATGATGGTCTTTTCAGGGCCGCCATCGCTCAAAGCGGCGGCCCTTTTACGGCACCGGTTCTGCATCGCAGCATTTCGGATCGAGAAGCCGACTTGACTATGGTGCTGAACAAAACCGGTTGTTTAGAGTTCAGAGACTCATTGAAGTGCCTCCGTGAGGCTCCCGTCGAGTTATTACAAGAGTCGGGTGCCCTCCTGCCGGTTTCATTCACGGTCGATGGTGGCATAGTCCCGGAAGCGAGTGAGGAGCTTTTACACTCGGGACGTTTTGTCAGAGTGCCTCTACTGACTGGCTCAACGAGGAACGAAGGTACATCTCTACTACAACAAGCTCTGAGAGTGATCGGCCCCCTGGATACCGAGAAAGACCTGAAGAGATTCATCCAAACTTCTTGGTTTAGAGGCCCAGCCTCGGACAATGATACTCAACGCTGGGCAGAATTGTACCAACAGGAAATCATTTCCCCGTCTCCTGCTGGTTTAGGGACTGTGAAGTCTAATCCTGGTCCTCAATACGGCAGTTCCTACGGCGCAGCAACCCTATGGTTGGGTGATATGATGTTCACAGCTGGAAGGCGCTTCGCAAACCAGGCATGGGCAAAAGCAAACATCCCTAGCTATAGCTTTTTATTCGATGCGGTACCGGCAAATATGGACCCAGATACACTTGGAGCTGCTCACTTTGCCGAGATACCATATGTGTTCAGGAACATGGAAGGATTTGGCTGGGAAACAAGCCCTTTTCCAGACAACCCGAGTCTAAGAAAGAATCACGAGGAGCTCGCCGAACTTATGAGCCGAATGTGGATTAGCTTTGCAACGAAACAGGACCCCAACTTTCACCAAGGTCAGTCTTGTATTACCTCTCCTATACCTACAGCACTATTACTTTGAGTTCTCGTTTTACAATGAATCTAATTTTAATTGATTCCAGTACCCGGGTTTCATACTAATTGGCCAGTCTATTACAACAAAACCCCTCTTAATATGGTTTTCAGCACTAAATGCCAAAGTTATATACAGACTGATAATTGGCGAGCTGAAGCTATTAATATGATGTCTTTAAGGCCTGGGACTGACCTGGGTTAGTATTTTACAGTAGTTATAATATGAAGTTATCTAATAGTTTATTTTCTAGTTTATAGAATATATATTATAATAGGCAGTTAGAAATACTTAAGCTAGCTAGTTACTAGTAGAAATATCTCTAGAGTAGTTTAAATAAGGTTAAAAGAGAAGGTTAGAGTCTATATAAAAAGAGAGCAATTTTATTTATTTATTTATTAGAGATTCTTTTTAAAAGTTTAAAATGCTAGAAGAATTTAAAGCTACTAAAGAATCTATTAATTTATTATTTTTTTATTTTTAAGAGATTTATTTAACTTTATTTTAATTATAATTATAATTTTTATTTAATTTCTATTTTTTATTTTTAAATATTAATTACTATAAATTCTATTAAAGTTCTATTAGTAGATTTTTCTATAATTAACTAAATATCTTATTTTATTAGATTTCTTATTAAAGAAATATAAGTTTTTTTTTTTTTTTTTTAGCTTTATTTAATATTATTAAATAAATTAAAATTATATAATAAA